TCATCAGCTTTGAAAACAGTTGTTAATAAATAGCATTCCATTCTTCCCTTGTTTTCAACATTTCAGTGGAAATCACTGTCACAAAATACATTGTTAAACTCCGTTGTAAAAAAATAGAAGTGTGTGGGACATTCTTAGTACAAAATATTGGTGAAACTTCCCCACTGAAAGTTTCGGAAATGTTGACTTTTTCAGCTTATATTACAAAAAAAATGAGATTCCATAAATTTTACATCAGATGCTTAATTGTTAATAGACAAAGACAGTGCAAGAGAGACATGAACCTTTGTGTTCTGTTTACAACTTTACAGCTTAACACGTGCTTGTGCCAGAATGATGCAGTTTATTTTTCTGTGCCAAAGAACCCAAAAGAAAATGATGGGATTTTCAGATAACTTCAATAAAAAACACTCTTTTTTTCTGTTTATAAATCTTAATAAATATCCTATCAAATTGATCAAATATTGGAAGCCCACTAAAAATTATAGATACAAAAGCTGATCATCCCAAACAAGATTTCTTTTTTACTTTTTCCCCCTCATGGAAATTCTCATTTGCAGAGCAAGTCAATAAGTTCTGTGTTGAAATGTCTCACTGTCTATGTACGCCCCCCTACCCCGACTCAATTACAGGTAGTTCTCAACTTACAATAGTTCGTTTAGTGACTGTTCAAAAATGACTTATGACCATTTTCATACTTATCACTATTGCAGCAGCCCAAAAGTCACATGATTTACATTTGGATGCTTGCTGGCTGGTTCATATTTATGACGGTTGCAGTTTTCTGGGGTCTTGTGATCACCTTTTGCAATCTTCTGATAAGCAAAGACAAGGGAAGTCAGATTTACTTACCAACTGTGCTACTAATTTAAAAACGGTGATTCACTTAACAAATGGGGTAAAAAAGTCATAAAATGGGACAAAACTCACTTAACAACATACATTTTGGGCTCAATTATGATCATGTTGAGGACTACCTGTACTTTCTAATCTATTGTTCCCCTAAGCCTCTTTGTTTTAAGGCTATTTATGAATGATCTTATTGCATTACTATGCCATTTTAGAGAAGCCCTTCATTCTGAGGCCTTAAAATTGTGGCTGGAAGTGTGAGCAATTAGAATTATGCTCAAAGCTAATATTAGGGGGGGGGGATTGTTATCATCATGTTCTTTTGCCTTCTGATACCTTTCCACCTAAAGTTGAATATGATTTTTAATCCGAATGGTTTCTTTCTTACATATACATGTTGTTTGTACACTTTTTTGACATGTGAATCCTATTCTGCTCCTATGTGTAGCCTTACAGAAAGGTCCCCCAATCCAAAAAGGAAAATCCATAATGCAATCAAGGTAAATTAACTTTGGTGTTTATCAAATTCCTACTGAATCCAACATAGATGCATCAGATAGAGACAGGTACCTATCTAAGGTATGCCTCCTTGTTGCCCATCTCAAGACAATTCTAGGGTTATTATGGGGTCAGGTAAAGCTATATATACAAAAATAATCAGCATATTTTGACACAGTGATGCACACAAAGAGTATCCAACTACATATTCACATTATCTACAATGAAAATAGCTTTTATTTCAAAATATGAAATTAAAGAAAGGAGCAGTTGTGTATGTGTTCTGTTAAAACTTTTCAACATTACTTATGCAAAGTGAACACCAAAATAAATGCCTTTTGGGGAACTGTCAAAGTAGTGCAAGTCACATAGAGTCACCTTATAATAAAACATTTTCTGAAATACACTAAATAATGGGGGTAGCTGGTATTCAGTCCAATTCAGTGGGGCATCCTTAGCCTAGAAGAGAACTGGGCTTTTAGGAGTTGCAAGTAATCACTTCTTGAAACAACTGTAACTACATCCAGTGAAAATCAGCACAGTCAAGTGAAATTAATGGGAAGTATTTATCACAGTGAGAAATTTCTGACTGCCTGGCTATTAGATTTCACCTGAGTTATGTATGTTAAATGGTGCTATATTTTTGTACAAAAAAAGTAATGTCATTTTTTTTAAAAAAAATTCACAGACCAGGCAGGAACTAATGAAAAACTAATGCTGCAATTTGTTTTCTTTTTCGACAGAAATGCCTCATTTTGGCTCACTTCGTGCTATTGAATTCCAACAATTGCCTTCTATAATCACAATTCTTTTTTTCCTGCCAGCCTTTTTTTGAATGAGCAGTTATTTACTCTGAAGACTGATGGCTACTGAATTTATTGGGGCTTATTTGGGATAAACGTGTCAATGTAAATCAAACTGCTTTAGTTCTGTTGAAAGAGGCATCCACAAGAATTTTGTTGGCTGCAATTTATCTTTAGAACTCTTCAGACATCTTGCTAGTCATGGCAAAAAAAAAATGTATACTTGTGATACTGAGTTCTTGTAGCAGTGCAACATTATGTGGTATTTAATGAATCAATTTCCTTTCCTTTCCATAATGCACAAAAATTTGGATTACTGTACCATACGCCAGCAGCAGATATGATCATCAGCAAGGCATCATTATATTATCATGCAAAAATATTCAGCAACAGATAAATGGTGGAAAATGGCTCAAAGCTGTCCTATGGTAAAGTTGAAGTGTAAGTGATTAGAATTGGAATGATTTTAAGGTACAACATTAGATTAACCTCCCTTGATTTGTGAATTACTTCTGAAGTAATTTAGATGTCATTTTACAGAGCATAGATCAGAGCACTTCCATAAGGAAATTCTTAGATTTATATATGGTGCACTTCATAGTTTTTCCCTAGGAAAAATATGCCATTTCCCTGGTTCAGCATAAATGATTTCCCATGTATTTTTAGACATGGGGCAGATTTAGGAAGCATAGCTGCAAATATTATACTGAAAGAAGGCCAATGGGGTGTTAATCAGATAAGATAAGTCAATAGTAGTATTGCTACTGAATTATTATTTTTTGAGACTGGAATAATAATATATTTCTTGGTAAGTTTTCCTTTAAACTAGTAATTTATTGATGGCTTGCCACACAATCTTATTATTCATTAATGAATAAGAGGTTAAGTATTTATTGAGTAAATTTATTGTTGCTTAATAACTTGTTAGCTATCTAAGCTTACCTTTCCCCCAAAGATACCAAAGTTAAATCAACCAAATGGTTAAAAATATCACTTTCCCCAAATTATCCAAACTGTGCTCTAACATTGCCTGGGAAGACCATTTCATTGTCTCTTAGGTTATTTCTATTCATGATGCAGCACCTAGGACTAAGTTCTTCTCAGTGGGGATATCTCAATTTCAATTGTTCCAAGAAGCGTACCGTAGGTTGTATACTTTATTTTTTGAAATGGTAATAAAAGCACATATTCTTGGTGGTTGTAAGAAAACAGCACTCTGTTTCAGGACCAGGCTGTGTTTTAGTATTATCATTAGCTTTTAAAAAATTATTTATTTATTTATAGGATTGTTGATTATATTTTATTGTTTTCTTGAAAACTGCTTGGAGCTCCTGTGGAAAAAGAGAAGTACATATAGTTGTAAGTCGTTGACTTACAATAGTTAATTTAGTGACCATTCAATGTTACAACGGCACAGAAAAAAGTGACTTATGACTTATTACATGACCATTGCAGCACCCCTGTGGTCACATGATCAAAATTTAGATGATTGACAACTGACTCATATTTATGATGTCTGCCACGTACTGTGGCAATGTGACCAGCCTTTGTGACCTTCTGACAAGCAAAGTCAATGGGGAAGCCAGATTCACTTAACAACTGAGTTATTAACTTAACAACTGCAGTGATTCACTTAACAAATGTGGCAAGAAAGATTGTAAAATTCACTTAACAAATGACTCATTTTGCAGCAGAAAACTTGGACTCAACTGTGGTTATAAGTTGAGGACTAGCTGCAGTGAGATAAAATTAATAAACATTTGTGCTCTGTAGAGCTAAAAATAGGACCAATCTGAGTGTGAATTGAATAGCATTTGATGTTGCTCACTATGTCTCAGCAGGTTTAGTGACTGGATAGCTATATTATACATATTTAGATTTTGGGTCAATTCAGTTGCAGTAATCAACAATTGGAAGAATCTGATTCTGTCAAGCAAGGCACTACTCATAAGTAAAGATGACAGAATGAGGCCTAGAAACTATGCTTGCTAACATACAGAAACAGTATCTGTTCAAGGCTGATGGAGAGGTACCTCATGGGACAACCCTTTTTAAAGATTGTATAGCTATGAAAATATTCAGAAGAATACTTAAGATGTACAATGTTCTACCACAATAATGAAACACAGTAGTCCATTCAGTAGTTTTCTTTCAGACAGAACTGCAGCTGAAGAGGTTTCCAATGAGCTATAAATAATGTTCAAAAGTCTCCAAAGCTTACACAACTGCTCCATTTCCCTATTTCAAATGACACAGGTGTTTTTTTTAAAGTCAATGCTTCCTAAAAGTATTGCACTTAGCGGCAAATAACAGATCAACACACATACTTGCGTGCAGACAAACTCCTGTGAATGACAAATGTCATACAAGAACTGCTTTTGACAAGAATCAGACACAGTTAAAGTCTAGCTGCACGAACCAACTAAGCATGAAATGCTTTCACTGTTTAACATAAAAAAACAAAAACAAGATAATTTTGTAAACAGTTTCACAGTATATCAGGAATCATGTTGTAACATCTCTCCCACCCCCCCACCCCACCCCACTCCAATTCAGACCTATGGCTTTTTAGAGTTAACTAAATTGTCCCTTAAGAAAACAGTGAGGTACTCTAAATAGCTGCCAGTCTGGTATGATGAAAATGGCATGCATTAATGGGGCAGTTAAAAAGTGCTGATCAAATTCTATTAATAAACTGGTTTAAAACAGAAATGCCTTCTTAGTAGTGAGTTTTTAAAGGATTTTTTTTTGCATCTCATTATTTTCTAAATTCTAAATCTAAGTTTAAAATTAATTACACACAAATATACAGTATTTAAAGATTTCTTTACTACAGTACTTTTGTACATGCTGGATTTATTATTAAAGAGAAAGAAATTACAGAAGGCATATGTACAATATTATATTGATCTGCAGATCTTTCTGCATATCTTGGGTCTTAAAGCTGCAATAAAGGCATATCATTTAAATCTATTTTGGAGAAATATATATATATAAATCTGGAGTTAAAGCTCAGGTCAGTAATAATTATTACCTACGGATTCATGTTTGCCCTGCTCTATGTATTTTTGCTTTTTGTCATAAAAACAAAACAAAACAAAAGCCACTTGCTTATGTATGAGAATATTGATTTCTCCATCTAAAAAGTGGAACAATCAAAGGTAAAATAAAATAGGAAAATATACAATATTGCAGCTTTAACCCAAATCTTCACTGATCTTATTGATGGATGGACAGACAGTAAACATTTTAGACTGCTGTTTCCCTCCCCCCCTCTTTTGAAAGTGTTAATATTTTCTGTCCCTTCATTCAGTTCTAAACTTTGGATTCGTTCTCTAAATTGGCCACATCACCATTCCTTTCTGCTTGTTGTTCTTCATGGCTCTTAGCTTCCTCTCCGGCCTCCATTTCTGCATGCTGATCTAACTGGCTTGATACAGACCAAGTAAGGGGTAACTCTGCTCGATTGGCCATCTCTGCCAATTCTTTGGCGCTATAAGATGGGGTGTTGGTTTCATATGTCTCATGGAAATTATTATAATCAACTTCATAAAATCCATCCTCTAGGGTGAGAACAGGTGTGAAACGATAACCCCACAGAATTTCACTGGTAATGTAAGAACTTCGGGCTTGGCATGTCATCCCTGCAAAGAAAGAAGACAGAAATTAGAAAGATTAGTGAGATTCAGTGGTACTAAATTTACTTATTTATTAATCACATTTATATAGCTGGCCATCTCAAACAATATGAGCTTGGGCAGTATACATCTTTTATCACTGATTTTAATTGCGTTTGCTACTTGGAATGCTTTTTCATGGAAAAGTGGGATAAAAACATTGTAAAATAATTACACTTAGTATGGTTTTATATTTAGTCTAAACTCCAAGGAAAAGCATGAAGATTTTAAAAATTCAAGATTTAATAGCATGCAAAAATGATGGCTTAGGAACACACACACAAAACAAGTAAAATTATAGTAAGGAAAATAAAAAATATGTGAAGTGACCACAAATATGAACAATTTTAGTAACTTATCATCTTCTCTTAAAGTACAACAAATGATTTCTTCTTCCCATATTCCATAAAGCACAGACATTTGAGTTCTTGTGCCAGCAAAAGTTCACAAAGGTTTACTGAAGATAAGAACATATTTATTTTAATCTTGATCAAATAAGCCAACTATATATTGTTTTACTTTTAACAAAGAATCTTTAACCCATTCAAATTGTGTTGTAGAACTTAATTTCTTTTCATTGTTTTTGTCACTTCTCATGAGATTCTTAAAAACATGCCTCTTTTGTAAACCCAGTACAAGAAAATTATCCTGTATTGGAAAATGCCAGGTTGGCATTCGGACTTCTTCCTTTGGTGGGTGAGGTTCTTTCTGCCAATAATCTTTTGCTCAGTTCTTCTTTCTTCCCAGCAGGCCCTTGCATTAGAGATAAGGTGTTAGCTCCACCTCTTCATCTTCTGTGGCTACCAATAGCACATCACACACACACACCATACATACCATTCAAAAGAGACAATAACAAAGTTAAGAAGGAAACAAAAAGATCAGAATAAATCATCTCCAGCAGTTTATACCTAGATAGGGATTAACACTTAGTGAATAGTCAAGCTGAGAACAAAACCCTAACAATCACCTCCACCAACCCTGGCAGAGCAAGCTACTGTACATAAACAAGGAGCAAAGCCGAATAAAGGAGGAGCTGATGTTGTGACGAAAGTAATATTATTTACTGTCGCAATCTTGGAGCTGCAAGATCACAGTCGATATTTCTGTTGCTGGACGGTCCTTTTGGACCTAAACCATCCCGCAGAGATGGTGATAGAGAAGAGTATGTCCTGCTGATCTCAGGGGCACCGCAAAGTCCCTGATTGATCCAGGAGAAGCTCTTATTTCCGATGACAGAAATGCAGCCATTGAAGCTACTGAGGTTGGGACAGCTCCGGAACGGAAAGAAAGAGGAAAGAGAAAGTGTGTTGAATTGGTGAGAAAATTTTATTATTAGAAAAGAGACTACACAAAAAAAATCAAAGCTAAATTAAAATTGAAGACAGAAGAGAGTAAGTGGCGAAATTAAACTACATTAAACTTAGTCTGTTATCTTTTTAAAATTTTTCTTTTTATGGATGGAATTTTTTCAAATGTTCCCTATTTTTTAAACTGAATGGATTAGTTTTTCTTCTACTACTTTTTATTATTTCTTATACCTATGGATTAAAATTTTTCTTTTTTTTGTATAATGCTTGATTGGATTGGTTTTTTTCTCCATTTAAGAATTTTTTCTTTAAATTTGGAACATAAAGAAGATATAAAAAGGAATATAAAGAGGGCTGTAACAACAGAGGGAAAAGAAGTAACGCTGCCACTTAGAGGCTGGAGGCTTGGAAACATTGTTCTTCTTTCTCTTTGATGATTTGACACTTCAAGCCTTCTCAGCTTGTTTATTGAGAGTGATAGTAGGAAGAGCACAGATTGTTTACACATGTGTTCTTCGGGAGTTCTATCACCAGCTGGATTGGAGGGTCCATAAACCCATGCGCATAGAACATGACTGCCTGAGTTTCATTGCTCCGGTTTCTGGGGAAAAAATGCCGAAAAAGGTATGGAACTGAGGGTTGAGGACTGAACTAGAAGGGTTAGAATGCAATAACAAAATAGAGGAGATTCGGTGAGGCAGCTCATGGAGGATAATATTGCTTCTGGAAGAGCTGTTCTCAGAAAACGCTACCAATCCTGCAATTATCCCACCAGCTCTGGTCGCCATCTTACCGGCTCTAATCATCGCGACTGCCGTTCTGGGTGCCGATCTGGCTTTGTCGTGTCGGAGGGACCACCGGTTCATCGCTGTCTCATCTGTCGTTGTTCCATCTGTCTCCAGCCACCGTTCCATCTGCTTTGATCTGTTTTGGTCATCGTAGCTGGCTCTGCTGCGTTGGGGCTGCTGCCGACCTGCCACCACCCTGCCTGCTCCAGTCGCCACAGCCGCTGCTCTGTTTGTTTGAGCTGCCGCGGCTTGGCCAGCTGCTTGGAGGAGACCACCGACCTGCCAACCGCAGTTTCATTCGCTTCAGCCGTCGACCTGCCCCTGCTGTATTAGGAGGCAGCCAACTTGCCACTGTTTCACCCACCTGGCCACCGCGTCTGCTGTCCCATCGCCACCATCCTGGCTCTGCCACTTCGGGGGGGGGGGCGCTGGGTCATGCCGCTGTGCCTGCCCTGCTGCCCATCAAGCCTTGGAGCTGGAGAAGTCTGCATTGGTGTGACCTGGAGCTGGGCAGCTGGCCTTTCTGCTGCCGCCATTCCATCTTGATGCAGCTTCCCCTCCCTCCCTCCTCTTCTTCTTCACTGTGGCGTTGGTTTTGGACATCATTGCCATTGGTGGTTTCGATCAGCATGCACCCTTCTTTCGTTGTCGCCCCGGGAGGACAGGGTCGAAGAGACTGGGAACTTGCTCCCCTCAATCAGCACCAGCCTTTTCAGTCCCCTCAGACTTTGCCACCTTTTCCCAGACTGCGTGGGGGAAGAGTGAGGAGTTTTCCTCCCCCCCAAATTTACGCTGACCTAAGAATTTGCGTTTTTAACTTGTGTGTTGAGTGTATGATACTACGATTGTGAGAATGAATGCACCCACTTTTAAATTAATTAGTTAATTATTTTTATTGTTGTTTTGTATTTTAATGATTATCGTGGAGTGTGCTTGTGTGGAAATGCCTGTTGAGTGAAAGCAATGGGACTGGGGGTGCGACCTGGAGCCCCCTCCACTGAGTGCAGANAGTGTGGGGAGTGTGGGAAATGCTTCTCCAGAAATGACCACCTTGGAAGCCATAAGAGGGTCCACACAGGAGAGAAGCCATACAGTTGCGTAGAATGTGGGAAATCTTTTGCTCATAAGGGAGTCCTTTGGACACATCATAAAACCCACACAGGGGAGAAGCCACATCAGTGCAACGAATGTGGAAGATTTTATCGTACCTCATCAGCCCTTAAAAGACATGTGAAAACTCACACAGGGGAAAAAAACTACAAATGTTTGGACTGTGGGAAAGCATTTGCTGATTCATCTTCCCTTAGAAGTCACAGCCGAATCCATACAGGAGAGAAGCCCCATAAATGCTCAGAGTGCAATAAATGTTTTTCAGAGAAACGTACTCTTTTGAAGCATCAGCAAATCCATACTGGAGAGATACTATTTAAATGTCTGGAATGTGGGAAATGCTTTGCCCAACCTTCAGCACTTTGCATGCACACCCAAAGTCACACAGGAGAGTTGCCTCACCCAAAGTCACACAGGAGAGTTGCGCCTTGCCGAGTGCAAGAAACCTTTTCATAGCAAACCAAAGCTAAAAATACATCAGAAAGTCCAGAGGAGATTAATCCCTTCAGCTGTGAACAATGTTGTTAAACAACCTCAAATCCCATTAGAGAGTACACAAGGAGGCAAGAGGGCATAGGTACGGGGAGTGTGAGGATGTTTGGCTCACAAAACAGCATTAGTCACTTACCAGAGTGATTACACAAAAGAGTTATCAGTTCGTGTCTATATATAATGTTTTGCAGAGGACCGGTAATTCCCAACTTATGACCACAACTGGAAATGGATTTCTGGTTGTAAGTTATTAATAGTCATAAATCAAGACACCCATTTTTATCTTTTACTAGACCTTTGTTGATCAATGAAGAGAACTGAAGATTTAGAGAGGAGAAAGTGGGGTGAGGGGTGGGGTTCACCGACAAATGCGCGATAGACGTAAGCGCGCCAACAAAACCACGACGGACAAATGAGCGCCGTCAAAATTGCTAATTGATTTTCGACAATAGCGCGCCGACAAAATCGCAAGTGAATGTGCGGGTCTCTGAGCCGAGGGCAGCCCTGCCTGCCTGCTGCTGCCCTCCTACCGGAGGATTTCCTGAGCCTGCAGTAAGTTGCAGGCAGGGATTTTCCTCCCGTTTTACATGCTCAATGAACATTTGAATTAAGGTTTGGCTTAAGATCTCCTGGAGGACGAGGGTGGGATGGGGGCTGCTGTGAGCTTGGAAGCAGAGGGGGAGAAACTTTCTTTGGGCCTTTGCTCCGGACTGACCACCGGAGAGGGCCAAAAGGGCTCCAGGTTGTGTCTCTGGACTCAGTGGGCATTGAAAGAGACAGGGATGAAGCTGGAGGACGGGCAGAGAACTGGGGTGGGGGAGTCAGCAGAGCCCTTGGCTGTGCCTAA